AGCAGGTTGTTCAAATATAAAGTGAATGAGGGAAGTCAGATGGTGTGACGACATTTTCTGTTTTCAATTCAGTATAATCTTTTCAAATGTTTGTAATTACTCAAAGCGAGGTCACAGTGTGGGATGTAGAACGTTGAAATTGAACGATTACAAAGTAATAAAATATTCATTGAAACTTTTTCGTAGTTTCGTTTTACTTTTAAATTTAATGTTGAAATGTAAGCCCCACCAACTATTATTTGACAAAAGATTCACAAGAGAAGAGAAACACAAGAGAAAAAATCATTAATAGCATAACACTAAGCCTAGGCAAACCTGATATTTTTAAAGATGCCTTGCAATCGCCATTGTATGTCAGACTTATTGTATTCAATCGAAGTATCAGCGCGCTTTCATTGTAAACACAGTTATTCGCAGTCATATTCCATTTATGAGTAAACGAGTCTTTCTTTACCATCATACTCAAATACACCGGTACTGTTGTTGCAGAGATCCACAGGTACCGGCCATCCGCTCGCCATGAAGGAAAATCCTAAAAACAGGAGAAATTGAAATCATTTTCTCTGAATGTTTGTTTACCTAATTAACTAATAGGCAGTATAAGTATTCGATAATATCTTACACGTTGCGCCGAAGAAAATTGAAAATATGTGGAGCATGTGATAGCTTCCCTAATAATACAATTATCCTGAGCATGTTTCGTTGATTCAAAAATTCTTATTAGTTTTAGAATCTACAGAAAGAAAAGCAATCACTCATTTGCTCTCTCATCAAATAATACGAAGTGAAAACAATCTGCTAAGCAGTTCAAGATTCTTCTTAACCCAAAGACGTTTTATCTGGTGTCAGATATAACACAATAGATTCTTGGCAGCGCGTAATATACTGCGCAAAAGCACGTGCTAACAGTCAACACATATCTCCCGGAAGATTTGCTATTTCAAAAAACATATATCAGTCATTCTAATATAAATGCGTCAGCTGGGGTTATCTCAGGCGGAACAAATGATCAAATTATACTCCAAGTATATATAACCTTTTCTGCGCCTTTAAGATTACTAGATTACAGTGGCGGCGCGTCAATAGGGCCAACCGGGGCAATGCCCCGGTTGTTTTTTCGGTATAATAAAAAATATTCGAAAAATACCTCAATATCGATTGCACAGACTGTCTACACTAGCCATATTCTCCCGACATGGTTCATTTTTTGCTCGCAAAGCCTTCGCCGAACGTCGACGGGGCGACGCCGATTTTGCCCCGGTTGCTCATTGTATATCGTATTCTCTCTTTTATCTTCCACTCGCCGCGTATGTCTCGTTTGTTTTCTGTTTCTTTTACTAAATCATCGGGGCCGATCGGGGCTAGCCCCGGAATTATGACGACACAATGCCGACGTTTCTTACAACAACGTGTTGACATATTCACGCATTCCTTCTCGTTCGTTGGTTGCTTGAAGAGTTGATAGTTTCCTCGCCTTCGTTTTTGTCGCTTGTTTCGCTATTTGAATCAGTTAGAGACCTTTAGTCCATTTGCTTTCGATTTTCCACATTCCTTTTGCGCTCCTCACTTCTTTCCGGCTTCGCATTTCTTAGCCTTAGACCTCATAATGAATAAGGTTGATGCACTACTTCGCACTCCGTTTTCGCAGCTGCCGCTGGAACAAAAATTAGAGGTACAACGTCTTGGGCCTTATCAACCAAAAAATTGTTCACTGGAACAATCCCATGACGGAGGAAAGCGTCGGCGTACATTCTTCGCAGAAACTTGGTATAAAAAACACGAATGGTTGTGTTACAGCGAGGACAAAAATGCACTTTTTTGTTTTTATTGCCTACTTTTTGCTACCGCCCGTGACTCACGTTGGTGTAAATTTGGTTTTAGAGATCTTAAACATCTTTCCGAGCGTGCCAGGGATCATCAATCTTCTATGGAGCATCTGGACAATGCAGTAAAATACCGAACATTCGGAAATGTTAATATTGCAGCACAGTTGGATGAAGGACGCGCGGTTTCTATTCGTCGGCACAACCAAAACGTCGAGAAAAACCGCCATGTTCTCGGTCGATTGATAGATGTTTTGAAGTTCATTGGTTGTCACGAGCTGTCCCTCCGTGGGCTCTTCTAATAGAGGGGTATTTTTGGATATGGTGGAATACACCGCATCCCTAGATACAGTATTGAGAGTTCATCTTGATGCCGCAACTGTTTCGAAAGGGACATCTAAGGATATCCAAATTGATTTGCTCGACTCAATGTATAAAATTTATTTACAACATTTGGCTCTGGAAATTGAGAATTGCCAGTTCCTTTCGATTCAGTCTGACGAGACAACTTACATCACGTGTGTTTCCCAACTGGCTGTGATTTTTCGGTTTGTGAAAGATGGTAAACCTACCGAGAGATTTCACAGCTTTGTACCAATCGTTGATCGCACGGCTTGCGGGATATCGGCTGTACTGAAAGAAGTGTTACAGCCTTACAACGCGAGGTCAAAATTCATAGCTCAAACTTATGACAGTCATGAGTGGGTCGAAACATGGTGTTCAAGTTTATATAAAAGAAGATTTTCCTCATGCGCATCTTTTACATTGTTATGCACACCAATTTAATCTCGTTATTAAAAATATGTGTCTTGATACCCCTCTCGTCCGTATATTTTTTGCAAATGTTTCGGGGTTTTCTTCATTTTTTTCCGTTTCGCCGAAGCGCTCTGACCTCCTTCGCCAGATATGTAGCCGCCGTCTCCCAGCTTGTGCACCAACACGTTGGAACTTCCAATCACGCGTGGTGCAGGGCGTGTCCGAAATTAGGTCTGAGCTCATTGAGTGTTTCAATGGCATTCAGAGCTCTCCGTTTTGGGACGAACGGCAGGGAGGGAGGCGGCAGGTCTAAAGCGTCTACTAGAAGATGGTGAGTTTTCATTTTTTCTCGCTTTTTTCTCCACAATATTCTATCACGTGGATGTATTATACGGCGCATTGCAGTCAAGGCTAATGAATGGAGCGTCTGTGCAGTCGTGTATTTCAGACTTCTGCGATGCTGTATCTCGTATCCGGGAAACAATAAAATACGACGACACATGGAGTGCTTCTTTACGCCGCGGGCAAACAACGCAGCGTTTGATTTTGTCTGCAAAGGAATGCTGTGACATTCTGGTGAATCAAATAGGCGATCGTCTGCGCACTGAACACCTTGCCGCGTTCTCTTTGATGAACCACAAAATATTTTTAAAATTTGCACGTCAATTTCCCATCCATTTGTTGGCTACTGTCTCCAAATTTTACCCCATGATAAACGTGGGTAAATTGGAAAATGAATTGCGATGTATATACACCAATCAAACTTTTTTGAACATCACATCAACTTGCGCGCTCTATGGATTCCTCATAGATAACACTCTAGTAACTACCTTTGCGGCGTCTGCAAAATTTCTGGACATCATTTTGACGACGCCTATTTCTTCCGCCGACGCAGAGCGAACATTCAGCACGCTGAAGCGTATCAAAACGTATCTCAGAAACACAATGAAGCAAGATAGATTAAATTCCTTGGCTGTTTCATCCATTCACAGAGACATTATTTCTGGGATGCATGACTTTAATCAGCGCGTTATTGAGCATTTTGCTTCCAAGAAACCGCAGCGTGTTGCACATATGTTCAAGCAGTAGAAGTCTAGCAGCATATATATCTATGAGTGAGCGACGCATGTCCTTATCTTTGCATTAACTTTCCTTTCTTCATAGTAACGTTTTAAACCTTATTTTAGGTTTTGTCTGCTTTCCCGAAGTTTCTGTTAATATGTCATTGTATTTATCTGGGTAAATATTGCCTTTCCTTTTGAAAGAGGTTTCAAAATAAACTATGTCTATATTTATTAATCCCTTGACTTGGACCGGTTTTAAAGACACTTTCTTATGGTTAAAAATTGTCGCTTTTGCCGATTGGATGTTACCGATGGAATGGTTTTTATACTCATAAAATGATGGGAGAACTTACAGCGCTCATCCTATCCCCGTAGATGGGGGTGACTTGGTCCCGCAGTAGCTTGCCCCGGTTGTCAAAATGACCAAGCGCCGCCACTGGAAACCACAATTCTTTATGATCATCAAGTAATTTTTTGATATGGTTTCCTCTTCTTGCTTTTCAAGTTGGTATTATTTTTCGTTCTAATGAATCTTAGTAAAAAATAGATTAGTTGCCCGTATATTTTTAAACTTCCAAATTTTTTTATTTTATTCAATTATTGTTTTAACTATAGATTATGAACTACAATATTTTATCTTTTCAAATTTACTATATATACATTAACTCGCCGATTTCACCCTGGAACATGTTGTATGTAAACCATTAGACACTACTCCAACATTAAATCACAGCCATGTAAACTTTACAAAAAGAGCCAAGCAATGTTAATATTCTGACTATTTGTAAGTGCATTAACTCGCCGAATACACCCTGAAACATGTTGTATGTAAACCATTTGACACTAGTCCAACATTAAATCACAGCCATGTAAACTTTACAAAAAGAGCCAAGCAATGTTAATATTCTGACTATTTGAAAATGCTTTACTGTTGTGATGGAGCAAGATTTCTAAGGCTGTAATACATTTCTCATTCTGCATCCTGGAAGCCAATCGCAAATCCCAAAAATAACAACTTTGAACTTAGTGGATTTATTTGGATTGAAATACAGCATTTAAGCAAAAGTTAAAATACAATTGTTCAATAACAACACAACAAATTCTGAATTTGCATGAAGCTGTTGGATTTTAAGATTGCAATGACATAAAATTATTAATATTATATATAGAAACAGAGTAGATCAATTTAATAGGCGTTCTGGGGATTCATTTCGATTGTTGTTGTGAGTTTGTTTTATTACATTTACCTATGGTAACAATTTCTTAAAACGAAAATTATCTTTCATAATATTCTATTATTTTTTGACTGATGCTTTCTGGGTCATAAATGATTTTATATAAATGATGATATTTCTAAAAAGACGAGTTGACTTTCGTGTTCATAAATTTTCTGCATTGCTCACTTAATGATGTGATATTTCTATCATTTAAGCATCTTCTTGCGAATATTTTATCTCAATGACATAATAAAAAACATGGTTACTAATCAATCAGAAAATTACAATTGTAATCAACGAATATATTTTAAAAAATCATCAGCTTATTTGTACATGGTTTTCGCACGAAAGCTTCAATTTTCGCAGAGGCAGCTTATTGGCGATCTACGGAAACAAAAAAATTAATGTTAGATTACACGTTGAAATTAGAACTCAGGAAAACTCAGGTAAATATCGCTGACAATTTCAGTTTTTATTGTAGGAGAGCTCCATTGCTCTAATTGAACAGGGTATGCTGTTGTTTGATATATATGCATAACCATTCTAAATTTTCATTTTGCCTGAGGTTGCTGAAATGAAACGTGTCAATACATGCAAACAAACACAATCAATTTAGTAACTTTGATTGTGGTAATAAATGTAAAAAAAAAACTTTATACCGCGGTTGCTCTGCCCCATGTCGCTTGGTGGTTGCTGCCCCATGTCGTCGGATGGTTGCTGATCTGAAAAATAATACCTGTATGTATTAGAAGATGTTTTAATAAATGATATACACCATGAATGTATTTAAAAATACTTTGAGGGGTACTTAATGGTAGTTGTATAATTGTGTTAATTCATATTTTATTTCATTTTATTTAGCAGAAGACAGTGAAACATGAAAATAAAAAAAAAACGTTTATCAATTTTTAAAACACAAGAAATATAATGTCAAGTGTATGGTGTGTTAAACACCATTAGAATTAGAATATTTTAATTTAGTGAATGATATTGATAAATATTTTTGCTTATTTCTCGTACTTTGTTGTCTTTGTTGATTCTGCTCCATAAGCAAAGCCGTAATTTGGTTCATGGCATTGCGAAGTTCACCAATATTGTCGCGGAATTCTTGACGTAAATTTCCAAGGGTTTGGTTCATGCCATTGCGAAGTTCCCCAACTTCGTGTCTCAAATTACCAATATCTTGACGGACTACCTCTATTTCTGAAAAATATTAGAAAAATAGACTGTGGTGCCAACTTGAAAACTAACCCTATCAATGTAATCGTTTAGATCAGTGGTCCTCAAGCGGTGATGCTCCCCACAATGAGGGCGTAGATAATTTTTGAGGGGCTTTAAGCTAATTAAAAATAGAATAATTTGTTAGATTTGATCTGCACGTCTTATTTTGGATATTTAAATTTCAAAACTTTTTATTTATTTCATTATTTACGTTCCATCCACGTATTGTCAAAGTGTTTTTTGAATAAAACATACTTTCGCCTTACTATCTGTTATTTGTAGAATATTGTTAGCTGGTTATTTTTGAGGTGGGCGCAAAACTTGAAAAATTCAAAAAAGTGGGCGCGGCTTAATAAGGTCGAGAACCACTGATCTAGATACTTTATTATAGTAAATTAAGCTAGATTATGCAAAGTATGTAGAAGTATGAGCACAACTTTATCGCGAAAGCTATAACTGATCCAACTCATGGATAACTGACTCAAAACCTCAGAAAGAAAATGAAAGTATTGTAGAAAGGGTTCATCACATAACAGATGGTTCGCGTAAAAGACAGTAGTAACTCATATGTAAGTATCGGAAAATTTAAGTTTACATTTTAAGATTAAATTTCACCTTCTAGAATGTCATTTTGATCGTGCGGTGGTTGGTTTCTTTCTTGAATAGCATCTTCAGCATGTTCTGGTTCGATTTCTTCTTCAAATCGCATCAGATTTATTCCTAGCGGTCCTAGACATAACATTTGACTACATTTAGGTAAAAATTCCACAACAACTGTGGAAACATAGTACACTCATGAATTAATTTGAACAACAACCTACTGCAGATTGAACAAATTAAAGTGTTCGAATTGGAAACAACACGCTCGATAAATAAGATGGTAGCATTTGTCCGCTGAATTAACCCAAGAAGTCAATTTTATTGCTTAACTAAAAACAATATCCCTTAAATAACAAGTACTTTGCTCAACAATTTCGATCTGGCATTATATCATATGAAAATGGGAAGCCACGATGAAAATAAAGACTCACCTCCAAAGGGAACTGCCTTGTTGTCAGCAACTCCCGCTGAAACAGTTTATAAAAAGAGTGAAAACAAAATGTTCCTTCAATGTATCATAGTTTCTTTTATTGTTTAAAATGTAAAAACAATGCATTGCATATTGTATTAATTTAGCTGCCTACAGATAACATTTGTACGTGTTTTAACTTGAAATTGTTTCAATCTTACTCGAAGATTAGAATTAGAACCAGCCAAGGTAATAAAGGGTAATTAATAAATAATCACTTGTTATGAAAGATGGACAGGTAGAACAACTAACTTTTAAATGACTGTTTCTACAACTAACTATTTCTACAACTCGGCATTCGAGCATGGTGATTGGGATATTGTCAAGCTTATCGACCATGCTTCAGAAATGTTCATCTGTATTCGTAAATATATTCGATTTCAATACGAATATTGGGTACTATGCAGTGTCAGCTTCAGCAAAAACTAGCAAGCAAACAACCAGAACTAAACTTCACTAAAATGCGCAACTTCACTAACACACAACCATGCTTTATAAAAGATATATCGTCGTGTAGGAAGCAAGAATATTGCATTATTGGACACGTAAGTAGGCCTTTGGATCGTTTTAATATTATGTTGTCGTTGTTTTTGTTCTTGTCGTTCTTTGTCACAGAAAAAAATGCTTTTCTTTTTGATTACTGGACCAATCGCGTTGAAATTATATGTATTGAAAAATTAATTTTTTTACAAGGCTATTATTTTTATTTATTTCAAATATTCCAGTGTGATTCGTTTTTTTTTGTGTGCTATGGCGTCATCAAAATTTGCCACTACGTGTCCATGTATTTGAGCATAGCTCTCTTGTTTGCATTAGTTATTGCATTTAAAAATACCCGTGCCAGCGTTTAATTCATTATCTTAAAATTTGGGTGCGCTCGAACCAAGATGGCGAACACCGGGACGTAGTATGTGTACCAAGTTAAGGTTAAGTCATAATTTCAGGTACAAATACTACGGGAGTCACTTGGCTTGTCCCCGAACTCGTAATGGAACTAAATAGAGAAAATTGGAATGAAATTATGGCCTAACCCTAACCTGGTGCACACACTACGTCCCGGTGTCTGCCATCTTGGTACACATACTACTGAAGCATTTGAATTAATACCAATATTACCTAAAAAAGCCTTCTTCGTGGGTTTTTCTTCAAGAGCTGATTTTTGTTTCTTATCAGGTTTCTCTTTTGTTTTTTCTTCAAATTCCATAAAAAAGCAATAAACGATTATTCAATACGCAATTTTTATATTACTGGATAACTATTAATTTTATTCACGTTCGCCAGAGGTGGCCAAACTGCTTTCGACCGCAATCGACTAAAATTTTCAAAATAGCTCGCGATCGACTGATCGGTAATAATTACATACACAGATGAATGAGTACTAAATATGCAGATACCTGTACGTCTGCACACTTTCATACGAAAAATTCCACCGCAGCAAATAGGCTCGACTCTGTGAGCGCATTTTTAAATGAAATCGCCACAAAAATTTGTATATATACTTGTATTTTATGTTCCATTTAATTTGTTAATTTGGTTATGTAATTGTACCCGTGTAAATTTTCGTCATTCATTTTTCTAGTCATACAATTGAGACCTGAGGCCTGCCTAATTTTTAGTCGTAAGTGTATTCTCAGACAATAAATGTTACATGACTGATCAAATTTCAATTTCAGTATGTGATTTACAATTTCCTCAAAGTCGTCGTTCACTTCGAATTATGAAAATTGGTATTATGATTCCACTTCTACCGTTGCGAATACACTTTACCGCACTACTCTTGGTATGGGTATGAGAGTGAGACAATAACTTTCGCATACCTCAAAAGGTATTGGGGGATCGTTTCTCAGTCAAAACACATGATATTCGGCATGCTAATTTCTAAACCTTGGCAGCGGTGAAAATTTCATTTATTACGTATAAATACGTTCTTTCAGGCTTGTCCAGACTTAAATATTTTAAATACCTAAATAAATCAGTATTTGCGCATGTATTCGTTCTGCTTCAAAACATAAAATAGGCGCCGCATGAAACTGTTTTTATCTGTTAATAAATTAACTTAACACCAGACGCGATCGACTACTGGGGTCGAGGTGATCGATCGGTCGACTGGCGGGCCATATAAGTATGACGTATACAGTTACATCTTATGTACAGAATTTTATTTACGGATCATCAGGCGGACCAGATTGAATTACCTGACGGGGCGTAACCAACTTGTGGTGTATATTTACGTAATCACTGGAGACCCAATTATTCAATTCAAAAATTGTTAGCATTTTCGAAATACAATAGGCTCCAGGTACATATTTAAATCTTGAGTGTTATTGTAGTAGTTAGTATTTCAGAAGCGTCACCTTTGATCTGACTTCTGTGTGGTGTTGCACTGAGTTTTTGAGATTCGGGTTCATCTGAAAAATATTCAGAACAGAACATTTAGCTTGTATCATTTGTTTAATTTTCAATTCATATGAAAATATTGCGGAAATCGTTGACAAAGGGCATGATTATCCCAGTATATAAAAAAAAAGTTCTCAACTTTTTAGATATTTCAAATATTTTTTTATCTAATTATAATTTATTTATCCCCAGTCGTTCGTGCACAAAATTTGTCTAAATCGTCAGTGTATAGAACTGAAAATGTCTAATAATCGGCGGTTCTCAATCGGAGGACCATGATTTTACTTTTTACTTTAAGAGAACTCCCAGTTTCGTGGCTTGATAAGGTTTTTATAAGGCGTTTTTACTTTCTTGAACATTCAGAATATTCTAATCATAATAACACTGTAAATACCCCTGGAATGAAAAACAGGGGGTCAGTCTATGAGTGCTGAACGACTCCGTTAGAGGACCACAATAGAGGTTGAAAACCACTGGCTAAAAATACAGGTTGATTTATTTCATCACAAACCAAATATCACTGCCACTGAACGAAATCCAAAACTGACTCACCTACGCTTGATTCTAATTCCACTAAAGCTTTTTCGCCAATATTTCCTTTCTTTGGACCATCGTCCATTTTGTTAATATAATCTAATTAAGAATTCTGCACAGAAAAAAATATTTTTTATTATTGAATAATTCCCAAATTTTATGCAGGTGTATGACTGAATCATGAGTGCTGAAAAAACTTTCTGAGAACCAACACACACTGCTTCTTTCTCATTTTAACTTTTGACTCACCTAGAACCACGGATTATTGGACACAGAGTCTTGTTGGTTTTTACTGTTACAGATAAGAAAATGGCTTTTCAGCAACCAATGGAGAACTCGGTTTGCGTCGTAGATTGGGTTAACTTGTCACCCTAGTAATGTGCGTTTTATAGAAAGTCCGTATTGAGGTTTCGCTTCCATGGCAACGACGAAATTTCCAGTGTTTTTTCACAATGTGTCGCTATTTTATCGTCAATGAAGTCGAAACTTAAAATATCAGTAACGCTACCTTCTGCATAAGAAACTGCCTTTTCGAACAAGTCGTCTTTCGTCTCGATACTCCATAAATTGGGCAAGCCTCAGTGATTTTGAAGAACATTATTTAAAAATTACTAGCTTCAGTATATCACTACCGCGAGACTGTCGATAAAACGCGCAGCGCTTGAAATGAACTGGCCATTTGGGTAAGCCGTCCACTCAATCACGCCGCCGAAGATCCTCAAGTTTCTATCGATGGCAACCGGTTGCTTGAGTTCCTGCTTCAACTATCAGCGGAGATCCTGGACGCCTACCGCCTGCCTGTTTGTCTGTCAAGATATAGCGTCAAAACTAATTGATAACTCAATGGACAACTTGAGACCTTGAGAAAGATAGGCAAAATATTGTAGCAAGTGTAATAACTTTAATTAAAATCAACAAAAAGTTGAAAAATGTAATAAAAATCATAGTACCAGAAACGTAACGTCATAATACTTGTCTCAACTAGCGAGGGCGACTCGCAGTTAACGAGGCAGTAGATGTCGCGAACATGATTCCTCCTCACAAAAAAATATTTCAACATCCGAATACTATCTTATCTTTTAAAACATTCTAGATCAGATCAAACATCTGAATATATCTGAAATGTCGGTAGATTTTTAGCCGATACCGCTACAAATATTGAATAAATGGTCGTTATTGCCTATAACAGTGGTTTCTCAAACGGTGAAGCGCGTACAGATAATTAAAAATAAAAATATTTGTTAGATTTGAACTGCCTGCGTCATTTTGGAAATTTACATTACCTTGTGTAGCTACGTTCCGTCCACATATTTCCCGGCGTTATTTGTAGCTTATTGTTAGAAAGTTATTCATTAGGTGGGGAGCAAGACTTGAAAATTTCTAAAAGGGACGCGGCTTGGAAAGTTTGAGAACTACTGGCCTAAACGATACCCAATACATCTCTAAGGTCTATGAATTTTTGCAAAACATATTACAACCTAATACTACTTTTTCTAAAAACTTCAGCTTCTACAGTGATCTATCCTATTTCAGAATTAGGAATTGGCATGAATACGTCGTCTCAATCGCAATCTACTATACTTGTTTCTGATTTGAATTCTCTAACACTTGAGGTATTAATAGATATTTTCCACTACGTTATTTAAGAAACGCTTGCTCATACATAAAAAATTCGCCACCAAACTAATTTAAAAGGGCACAAAGCACTAACATTTATTCACATTGCGCTTATTCCATTTTTATTATAGCTGTTGTAACTCAGTATTTGCTAACGCTTCTAACAAGGACTTCTGACTGTCAGTCAATATTTAGCTTAAATGAAATATTGACGAGTAATGGTTATCGCTTGTCCTAGGTGCCTTGTTTCCATAGTTGGCTGTTATCAAAATAACTATTTTAACAAGGCTTGTTGGACCCACATACATATATATAATACAGTATATATATTCATTTTATTGTATTCATATATTATATATCATCAACGTGCGCTCCAAAATCCAAATATATTAAACTTTCAATTCGAAAAACCTTTAACTATAGGAATAGCCTACAGATAGAATGTAATGCTGAGATTTGATGGATAGCACAACCTGGGTACGAAGTATTCAGGGATATGAATTCGCGAACCACCCCTTGATCATATCTGTTATAGATACTATTTTGATTTTTACACAGCTTCATTTTTGAGCTGAAAGGAGAAACCTGTAGTAGCAAGGTCACGCAGATAACAAAGAGCACATTGCATCGTTACTTCTGCCTTATGCCAATTTTTTATTTAAATTAATCGTTCTAAAGTCTTTGATAATCCGAGCATGAGTGATTGATAATACTGTCGGTTATAGGAAGGAAAGTAGCATCTCAAATATGACTAAATATGAAGAGCAAGATTGGCCACAATATGAGGTTTTAATTTACTATATTATCAGTAGCTATGCAAACTCTAATAAAACCACCTTTGATGTAATATTCTAGTTCTTACCAAAAGAAACCAAATAAATCACAAATGATGCAACAACGAAGAAATAAAAAAAAAAACTTGAAAAATGAAAAGAAAAAGTTTGTTTTTGACAGCTTTGAACTATCATAATGCGCCCCATATTTACCGCTCCGACTTATACCTACTGTGATGTGTAATTAATGGGTAGTAATCTACTTTATGACTCCGACTTTGCTTAAATCCCCACTGCTCCTAACACAATACTGCTGTAGCCACTTTGATTCACAGGAGCCAAAGCTCCGAAAGAAAGAATCAACTGTGTTGGAATCGCAAGTTACACATCTTAAATTTGAGTCCCCTGTGTCCCAAGGCAAGGTGTAATAAGTTGTGTAAGCAGTTAATTCAACAAATAGAAGTTTTGTTTTATTTTTTAGAAAATGTCGTTGCTTATTTTATATTCGTATTGGAGTGTTGTTCATTTTTAATTGTATATGTGAAAATTATCAAATCTATTGCTGTTAATAGTAAGTCAGGTAATCTTGTAACCATTCAAGGCATAAGCATTACATACCGACTAGTGTTTGAACATATCCTTCGCGGGATTATACCTAAATTTATTTTCTAAAAAAATTAGGGTCGCTTGAAAAAAAGGTTTAGAACCACTAGTTGAAAGTGTACTAGATAACATAATTTAATGTTTCAGGCTTAGAATATAAAATTCAATGATGAATTCAAATTAGTTATAGAAAGTGGTTTTCATGTTTAACAGATTATTCCCCAAAAATGGAACTGTATGAAATGTACAAATAAATAAATGTTCACGGCATCGCCTGGTCCTAACGGCTCTCATGAGGAAGGTTTCATCGTCCCCAACAAATTCGGTCTTTATCAAATTTATGCAAAACTGATATACGCGTGCACAAAAGTAGATTGAAGTTTGAGAGCTTTGAGTTAGGTTGTGAATCGTATTTTTTAGCCATTTTAAAGATTATCAGATATTACTAAAGGATTTTTTGTTTGCTTTCTTGTGCAAACGTAGAATTAGCATATAATGTAATGACTTGTAATGCCTTTTTATCTAAATGACGGTTTAAATTTTTTGACAAAAAGACATGCTTATCTCTTTATACAGGTGTTTCTTAACGATTTTTTTCATATTCAACCCTTTTAAAAAAAAATTATCAGATTTACCCTCCCAATCAAGTGTACAAAATTTATTACCAAACTAATGGTCAAAGTTTACCCCCCAGAAATGGAAAAATTTATCTGCAAAAAACAGGTTCATTACCACAGATACAGAGGGAAATTCTAACTAACTGATGAAAGATATGCTTCAACATGCCTATCTTTTCTTGCCTACAGCCATGTTTTATATGTAGTACAGCATTGACTGTGAAAATGGCTCATTGCGTTACTTGGTGTGTTAATGCATTTAAATGATGGTTTTTGCATGTGTTCAATAATTAATATAAAAGTAGAATACAGAATGGTATGAATGGTGAAAGCTTCTGAAACAACTATACCTTTAAAGAAATCTTCGCTTGTCTTCGGTTTTTCATCAAGAACAAGTTTCTGATCAAGTTTTTCCTCCAGTACTTAAGCATAGAAGTTGCTAAAAAGTTTTTTTTTTTTTTTCAAGTTTTTTTTCATTTACTGTGGGACTATATATTTCACCAAAAATTTTGTCGTTTGATTTTATAATTAAATGATATTCTATATTTCTTTCTTCTATATTGCACGCCAATTGAATATCCAACCAAGCGTTTACTCGGATATCTTTGCCAGGAAAGTGGTGGTATAGTCCTAGTGCAGTGGTTCTCAAACGGTGGGCCGCACCCCACGAGGGGGTGTACACAATGTTTTTGATGGGGCGTGAAGCTAATTAAAAACAAAAATATGTGTTAGATTTAATCTTGTCTATCTTATTCTGAATATTTACATTTCTTTATTTTGAATATTTACGTTCGATCCTCGTATTCCCAACATGCTTTTTAAATAAAACGTACTTTCGCCTTACTATCTGTTATTTGTAGTTTATTGTTAGCTAGGTATTATTGAGATGGGCACGAGACTTGACAAATTCTAAAAGATTGGGTGAGGGGGTGGCATCTCAAAAAAGTTTAAAACCCACTAGACTAGTGCTTAAAGAAATTGACTTAAGGTTAGAATTCCTCACCGACGTTTGAATAAATTGGGTAGGCATGCTTCACATGGAAGATTCCATTATTTCCAACCTATATTCACCTCGCAGTGGGAAACAACTACTAATATCTCTCAATTCTTTTAATTCTTGTCTGAGTTTGTCCTCTTTAAACTTCAACTTATGTGTGTTAAAATTTATAAATATCAATCATAATATATCTCAACATCATCTCATTTAAAAACGTTTTTTTGTACGCTAGACTCTTCGACCGACCACGAAATTGGAGTAAGTAATGGGTACGTAGTTTCAATTGCCACATGAATACTATCCCACTGTGTTGTATTCACTAATGATTACAAAATCGGATACTACGTTACAAAATAACCGTTTGCTTACACCTTTTAAAGTTGACACCATATAAATTCAAAAGGCATGAAAAACTCGTATTTATTTACGACATCACGCTGCATTGGATTTCCATTGAAACTTTGTTTTGACTTTCAGAAAGACAACTGGCTGCTAGCCCATTCAGCTAATATAACTAAAATAAGGGAAACTGGAATAAAATTATGGCCTAATCCAAACTGGTACACATACTATGTTCCAGTGTCCACCATCTTTCTTGGTCCACGTACTTCGGGAGTACCCTCTATATTACACCAAGCAAAAAAATGTTGAAGCACGCAAACATGTAAAAAGAAAAGTATAGCGAAGTAAAGTGAAATAAACTCAAAATTATTAGGAAATATGTTATCTCTCAGCTGAGAAAAGTAGTTATGTCATTGACTTCCCATATTCCCGTAATTCCGATTTATATAAATTTGTCATCAGAGGTTATGCAAGACTAACTTTCTAATTTTTCCCCAATGTCTTTGAGCTAGTGTATCTGTATGCGTATAATGCAAGGATGCTGTAGCAGGAATAAATATATTATACTATGCATTTCAGGAGTCCTACTGGACTAACACTAACACAACTGTATTTCTGTAACGTTTCGTCTAGCCAAAATCAGATTTCCCCAGACAAGCAGTTTAAAACAATGATTGTAGATTGCATTTGTGTTAGTGTGCAGCAGGACTCTTCAATTGCATTATATCAATCTATTCGAAATATTAACAAATATTGCGATTATCATAAAAAGTATATGGAAGTCAAGATGTCTTTGATTAATGCATGTTTTCATTTTGGTACTCCCATGGTGTGTATACAAGGTTAAGGTCAAGACATAATTTTTTTTCGTTTTTCTTATTTTAGTTCTATTACGAGTTCGGGGACTGTTTGTGTTAGCCAAGTGAATGCCCACTTGGTCCCCCGCCCATAGGTTTCAGTCCCATCGCACAACTTGATGTAAAGTAGCTAAACAAAATTAGTTACCTCCATATTGGTACACACCCTTATGAAGCACCTTCTTTTTTTCGGATAATGAGCAACAATGGTAATGCTGCAACAGCACTTACATTCAACAAAATAATTTCCGCCTACATTGAAAATCATTACTGAGTAAATTCTAGCATTCGACTTGAGAAAATTAATTTTGTCTTATAATAATTGGTCAATGAACTGCATCATCACTGCGGCATCGCGCTCTTTTTTGATTGTTTGTTTACAACGCTGTAAACCGCATCCGCTACGTTTGCGAAAGCATTGTTGCTTGTTCCTGCGACTTCTTCGTTGGCAAAGTCGTACGGATTCTGTTCGCCACTTTCACCTGCAATTACCGAGATTGCTGTTGGGTTCTGAGAGTTCAGATTTTCTGCTTGGAGCTTTCGTTTCAGACTCCCATTCCTTGAAAGAATAGAGATATCATTGCGTTTTACTGTCTGTGGGTATTTACTGATACGAACAGAAAGTACTGAAATACAGCAGGATAAAGTCTAACCATCTTGAGCAGTGTGGATGGGAAATTCTGGCAATAATCTTTATATAACAAAGCATTACAATATTTACTCTTTTTGTCATTCTCGTTTGAATCAGGTGAGGCTGAGTTGAATGGAATCAAATTAATTTTTAGGCGATGTGGGTAATTCTACCGGTTCATGAAATATGATTGGAATGTATTCTTTTTGTACGAACGTTGTCTTTTGGGTAACAGCAAGTTCTGTAACCATCGATTTGTTTTAATGATAATATAATAATATTTTAGAGCATATATTCAAATCGAGGTTATATACACTTACTCAGGCATAAATATGACTCATATTGCAGCAGTAAGAGCAATCGCTAAATTGACATGAGCTGCAATACTTGTGAGAATATGCCAATTAACAATTACAAAAAAATTGTAGTTAATATAAGTAGTTCAAGTTAATATAAAGTAATATAAGCATATTTTATATATATTAATAATACATTTATAAGCATATATAATATATTAACGGCATAATTATTACCTTATGGTGAGAGCCAACAGAGCAACCAACACAATTCCTAGGAGGATTCCGAGTATAATGCTGACAGTGAGGTAGATATAACTACTTTGCGGTTTTTGTTCAGGAAGTGAAACAAGTTCCGTGTCGTTGGATACTATGGTCCAATGCATGGTGTTCGACAGAGTATTGATTTCCACTGTTTCCGGTGAAGTGGTCGTGTCAACTGGAATGGCAAACAAATATTTAATAAGGCGCGGTACGTTTTTGAAGTAAATAAGACAATAACAAATTCTAGGTAACGGGTATTATGACTTTGTATTACTTCAGTGATTGAGATAGGTTCGATGTTGGTTATGTATGTGTACCAATATGGAGTTAAATAATTTTGTTCGCCTACTTTACATTAAAGTTGTGTAAAGAGACCGGAGCCTATGGGCAGGGCTATATTCATTTGGATAACACAGACAGTCCCCGAACTCGTAATAAAACTAAAATAAGGAAAATCGCCATGAAAGTATGGCCTAACCCTAACCGGGTACGCACACTATACGGGGGTACCAAATTTGGTATTGGACTGGTGTTGGCGCACATCTTTTATACGAATGAGCACATTTTAATTACAATTGCTGGAAATTTAGATATGATTTGAAATAGAAATGTTAGCAATATACGCTACAGAGCTATTACGAGAATAAAGAATTTTTCAAGGCCAATTATTCGATTTCATGTGTGATGTGATTGTTCGTTACTTTGAAATCATATGGGGTTTCGTGAACTTTCGTCGATTTAAAACCTAAAAAAAATTCCCGAAAATAAACAACTTCAACTGGAGAGCGTTTGAGTAAAGGTGCCAATATCACTGAAAGGGTTCAATTTAATTCACTTTTCAATCCTTTCTGTAAATGTATTAACAACCAACGGATACTATAAATGCGCGGGCTACTCATTCGTGGCGTACTAAATGGGCGGCAGATTCCTGGTTTGTGAAACACTGCAAGATCAAAGGTCTGCCGGAAGCCTTGTTCGAAACATATGTGTCAATATTATTTAAAATGAACTTACTTTCTTTTGTGTCCCCGTGTTCTTGGGAGAGATATAAGATATCCATTCTGAAACTCGGTGGATCCGAGGGCTTCCCTTTGTATGTTATCGTTACAGAAAAAATATCATCACTAAAAATCCATTTGATCTTGTTGCATTCGGATTCCCGCATAAGGGTTGTGTTGATGGGAACAAGTTGGCCATCTGTTATTAACAAGCATTCGCCAGAGCTATATTTGCAAATCTCCATGTCTTTGATACCACGTACTAGAATTAAATATAGTTTTGCATGTAAATTAAAACAACTTGATATTACACATTAAGTGAAGCCAAAGCAATGGCTCTTTTCCGACATTTGGAGTAGTTTGATTTAATCGAAACGCTTCAGATTTCAGAAGTGCAGATTTAAATTCAGTTTTAATTTAGTATCTATGCACAGAACTGCAAGTGGTAATTGATAAATCAGTGTTTCACGCGAAATAAATCATATACACAGAAACAAGATTTCATTTTCCAAATGCTCATTAATTATTTTCACCTGAAATCTTCAACGAGCCAAAGCAATTCGTAGAGGAACTATCATAAAGTTGCATATCTGTGAGTTTCAGTAAAAGTGCTTTACTTTGATGTGTGCAGTCATTTCCGTTCAAGCTCCAGGTTTTCGACCACCCCTTTACACTACTAATTTGCACAGGATTCTTCGCACACAGATCAATTGATTTAGTACCTTGTCCCAAACACGTGTTTGTCACTGCGACAAAAAAAATTAAAAAATGAATGATCAGCGTTATTACAGTTCAAGAAAGTAGTGAGTGTAAATAAAACGTTGATGCTTTCTCATTTATATATCACTTGCATCTTTAGTTTTTATATTTTACCAGAAAATAGTCACTGTAATAAAAATATTACTCCTTGGCAACAGGACATGAGGCATGATATTCAGCTAATCCGTCAAAGAATTTCACCCCGTCCCACAAATAGAAAACTGGAATCTTACCTATCAATGAAAATAATAACATTTTATCCATTTTTGGATTGGTCGATTTAAAAGTAAGATACTCGTTTTCTTTATACCATACAGTGTCTAATGGCATACAATTTAATGTGCGCCAAGCTTTCTGAATAAAGTATAAATGAATAAATATTATTTCGCAACAACTAACAAATTTAGTATATAACTTATTCTACAACAAAACTGATTATCTTCAAAATTTAATCTCTTGCAGTATTCAATGCCGCTGTGTACATTTCGACATGATTGAAAGGTTTAACACAAAAACTAGCTGCCTGTACTAACGTCGCACCTTTTTCATAAAGAGAACATGAAATCATTGTATATATGTGCACTTGTGGTTATCCTGAATCGGCAATCCAAGAGGCTCTGTTTCTGCACAATACTTCAAGTTATCAGTATGAGTTTTTCTATTTCGAAGTAAAAAACAAATTTTTATCCTATTCTGTTCATTTTACCTCGAGGTTACACGCGGTTTTAATAAGACAAAAAGATAGTAACACCAGTTTTCCTTTCATAAAAATCAAACGTTAGCTTTAGGAAGTTGCTTTGTAATATATGGAACATTGTCATTTATACGGAAGCTGTAGCTATAAACATAAACTCTTCACCTATTGAGTTCGAATGTTCATATGATAATTTCCACCGTATGCTCTCATTACATATACGCATGGTGAAATTACAATTATTACGTTATTGCAAGTAATAGAACAGTAAAATGAATGGCATTAAACTGATATCGAATATTTTGCCGTTGCGTCATTTAAAGACTAAATCAATAATACTAACGGGCAGAATATTGCGTTTTTAAAAAGTAACGATACTTCTATGGTTTGTAGGTCTTCTATACGCCAACTATATCTATTAAATCGGTCCACGATGCAATACTAAATTGTATAACATGAAATAGTATGTGAATAAATAGGATAACGAACCCATGAACCCTTGTGAGACGCTTTGTCAGTTTCAGCTGATTCATAGAAACTCCGTACGCCGGACTACTTCATTAAACTTCTCATTATGTTTTCCTTTGGATAACCCTTAATGCAAAAAAATCTAGTCATCCATATTTTAGTTTGTAAACAGTTGGTCCGGAATGGTGTAAAAAGGTCCCAATTAGGCCCGTATTAAAATTCAACCACATAGCTGATTTCCTGACCTACAACTCAAGAATGACTCACCAGTAGGGTTTTGTTTTTTATCAATTTGAAAAAGCATTTTATGTTAAAACAAGGGCTTGTTTTAAATCATTGTGTTCTTTAAACTGCAACAAATATCTAACCTACAACGCGAAACTTTTGATGGGGGAGAGATGAGATCTAATGTATGTACAAGTTGGTCGTTCTGAAAAATATAACGTGAACTTGAGCAAATAATGTGAGATTGTATACCAAAACACCAAATATAGAAACATTCGGATATCATATTCTGACTATGAACGCAAATAAATATTACGTAATAATGCTTCAAGATTTGAATTCTCTGATTATTTTACTGTATGTTAATATAACATCAATGAAATATTTTACTATGCACACACCTGTACTTGTCCATACAGAAATATATTGCCATCTGGAAATTTTAATTGCAAGCAAATATTCTTCCACCATCTGATAATGTGTCGCATCGTACTATATGTAACCTTATTTCCAACCGATTTGGCTGCAAAGTGATTATGCATATTTGAAGGTAACGTTTTTAGCCGCGATGGCAACAGACAAATAGCATGTTGCATTATACATGATGTCACAAATCGCTAAAAAAATGTCAAAAGCTTTGGAATGAATCGGGCTTTTATTCAAGTCATTCGAAAATTTCGACTCTCACTCATTTTAAAGACCATAAGGCGCATTTAAGTCTTTTTTCTCAAAAATCGATCGTGCGTTTTATAAATTGACGTGCCTGATGTATGGAACAGGTAATGGTTTATTTCCAACACTCAGAACAATACCGGCACTAGTGTTTAATAAACAAACTGACGTTTTACGTTTTCTTTGAATAGAATACTCCTATTCCTCCTCCGATCCTACTTCATAAATCATGACGTCTTATAGCCCGATGCGTCTTATGTATGGATGAAACTTCCAATATAACCAATTTATTGACGGGTGCGTCTTAGTTTTTGTAAAATGAGGCACTTTTCATATATGAAAAAATGTTAGCGTGAAAAACTTTGACCACTTTTTAGTTTCAACTATAAATAAGCATCAAGAATTGCAACTCCAAACGAATTTGAAATGCTCGTTATACAAAGATGACTCAAGACTTGAAATTTATAAATCATGAATTGCTCGAAATATACATAATGCTTTTCTGCAGGTGGAAGGTAGTGTTGCTTTCAAAACATTAGATTAAGCAATACATTAACCCTAGATTGATACAAGTGATCTTTTACAAATATTTCCTGTCTTGCTGCAGGAAGAACCATTGAAAAAACATTGGCTATAGCTTGCAATACAGTGACAAGATCAGATTAGCCTTCATTTCAGTTATTTGTTGTACCGATAAGTCAGAGCAATCAAGAAAAACGTTGATTTGAAAATAATTGAGTTGAATTAGGAAGGTATTTTACAGTCAAGGCTAATGAAGATTACTGAATTGAAAATGCTCAAAACACTGCTATTGCTAGGTAAGATGCTAAGTATGTAGGTATTCAGGAATATCACGAAATAGATCATCGAAGGCACAGTAATAAAAGTGGCATTACCGTAGGGTTTCTTAAAATAATCCAATCATGTGATAGAGTACTTAAGTGGAAAATTATTTTTAGCTTTGGCGCGCGGAATTCTTGCAGAAAACATAAATGTATGCTCACAACCAATCAGATCCATCGGATATAGTGGGAGTAGCAGAGTCAGCTTCAATTGTACTTTGACCAATCAAAATTGCAAATCTGAAAACGAGGTTTTACTTCTGAAATTGGCGAAGATGAGTCTTAAACCGACCAACTTATGTCGTGGAACTCTAATCATTTCAGGTAAAGTCTTTTTTACCAACAACAGTTTAACAAGATCTTGAATATAATTCATTTTCTTTGCAGCTTTTCTTGGAAGCAAGGACATTTGTGAATACTCTGAAAACGCGTGTTTCGTTTATAATCCTGAAAATTCAACTAGTGTCAACGTTTCTATCGCAAACAAATGCACCGAAATAATATTGATCAGAATGGATAATATTCTCCCGATTACTGTTAAGTATGATACTAAGTATTGGGCTGGTGGCTATTCTCAACACTTTGAAATTGAAATCCTCTATCATTCATCCAGTTCATCAGGTAAGAACAAGTAAATGCTTCGACTGGCTGGATTGAATTCTACATGGAATATATAGGAAACATATAAAACAAAAGGGCAGATAAAGGCCTGCTATGCATGACCCAATTTCATATGGGGTTTTAATGAAGTGGTTGCGTAAGTCAGATCACTAGTTTATCTATAAATTGAACCTATGGTTAGGGTTGCCACTTCTGGATACATTTTTTTTCGAATCGAATCTCGAATCAAAAATTTTCGAATCGAATCTTTCCAAATCTGATTCCATTCCAAGCTTTTTTTTTTTTTTAATTGCATGCGTATGTTTACTCAAAGTCACAAAAAAGCTCAAATCTAGAAGAGAAAAACTCGAAAATGGAATGGAATACGCTATATAGCAAGGATGATAAGGGTTTTTCAGTGAATAAATCACACTTATTTCCATCATGAAAAAAAAGGTGTAGGTCATAGATATCACCAAGAAATGCATTGATGAAAAACTTGCTGTTGCAACTTATCTGTGAGTCTTACAATACTGAGGTATTATTGTATTATACTTGTATTAGGACTAAGCAATTTGATGGAATTCATAAGAGAAAATAAACAGGGAACAGTTGTACAGTTCTGTCCTAAACACAGTATCAGCACTGCTTTCCCTAGTTCCACGCCAGTATAATGCGTGACTGTGGTATTTCACTTCCTGTTATATTGAATTAAGACCGGCCTTATTACCGATTCTTTATCTTCAAAATTTTAGGACAATATTCTATATTTATGCTGGCAGCATAGAGTAATACGACAAAAACATTCTAATTGCATCTGAATT